GAAAATAGTAAGTCTGTCTTGAGAATGTCTGTCTGATATCTCCATGTATATATATATATATATATATATATATATATATATATATATATATAAGGAAATTGTGGTTTATTTTCCTGTACTCCTCAAATAATCTGTACAAACCACTTGACTTTATTTATGAATTTGAAACACAGTACTAAGAAATATTAAACACAGTATTTATGAATTTGAAACACAGTACTAAGAAATATCACTGGGTTCACTTTATCATTGAATTTTAGGGATGTGGTTTCTTGCTTCTTTTTGCTGTTTGTTTAATAATAATTAAAACAATCTATTAATCAAGTTCCACACAGACAAGTGCAAAGCTCTGCCTAGTGGATCTAAAAACTTTGGAATTCTTACATCAGTGTAATCAGGTGATAAGAGCCCAGACTTGGTGCTTGCTGGAGGGATTTATTTGGATTCACTTTGCCTCTATGAGCTCCATCCCCCCTTATTTATGCATCTTCATTACTGTATTAAGTGGTTAATTAAATCTGGTCAGGTTAACCTTTGTTGGTGATTGGAAGTAGGAATCTCAGCCACTGGAAAGCAAATCATTTTGGGTGGAACATCTTGTTCTGGTTTGATAAATTATCTTTGTTTACATTCACACAGCATTACTGCCTTGAACCAGGCATTTCTGGGGAAACAGGGGCAGTGCCCAGAGCACGTTTCCAAATGTACAGAAATTTTCAAGGAGAAACATTTCCCTTCCTTCTCCTCTATGAGCAAAACAGGGAACCAGTTGGAATTAATAATCCAGAATTCCAAGTACTCACAAAGAGCTGTAATTTGTTGTCAAACAACTTCTAAGAGCCAAACCTCCAGGCTGCCCAGCTGAACTGAGTCCTGCTTCCTCACTGAGGATTCTTCAGCAGTAGCATTCCAGTATTTTCCTGGTGGAGTATTTGGCATTCTTTTCCAATTATTCCTGTTATTATTTTGTAACTCTGTTTGTCTTTGTTCTGTGGCCTGTTCTGTTTTTTGAGTGCTAGAGTGAAAGCCTCTTGTCATTTTCCCTTGGTTTGATATTTTCTGCCAACTCCTCTGCCCTAAAGCATTTTCCCCCCCTTTTTCCCCATGCAATGAGATCTTACCTCCATAAACCCATTGCCTTTATTGCTCATGGGGGAGTGATTTTTATCCCAGAAGAATTCTTCAGTCTCAAGGTGGGAAGGACCAGAAGGGAGATGCCACAGTGACCTCCTGGCTGATTTTCTGGCTCTTCTTTGGAAGAACTCGACAGCACAGTCAAAAGATGTTCATTCTGAGGATTATTTTATTTTGGTCATGGCAATTTTTTTATGAACTGTTGCTTCTCTGGAGCCAAATTGTGGGATCATAGGAGATCTGTAAGCTCAGCATGGTCCAGGAAGAGGCATAGTAGGAAATTAGAGAAGTAATAGAGTAAAACCACAAAAGATTTCTTGGTGCCACTGTAAACCAATCCAATATCTGTGTGAATTCTCTCTGCCTCAAAAAGGAGATGTTAAAACAGCAAAAGCTGTAGAGAAGGACAAACAATGCAATCAAAGACATGGCAGATGTGGGGAAGGTGAACTGTGTTCCCATGTTCCTTCTACAAAAGGCCTCCAAGTCATTTAAAGCTGTAACTTTCTTTTATGCAATTCCTTTTCTGATTAAAATGGTCCTCTGAAAGTGATTTTATGATACATGTAAATATTATGGTTATCAGTCTTCACAGTTAAAATAAGGCTTTTTCCTGTGGCAGGAGGAAGGCTATAGCAGATTCAGATTCCTGAAGCATTCCCACCAACTCTGCCCTCCTGTTCTGGCAGAAAGAGGAAAAACTCTGGGGTTTGTATTTCCTTTTATTTGTTTCTTTATGTATCCTGTGCTCTCTGATTCTCACTTATTTCTTATTTCATTATCTTTCCTGTTCTTTTTCTTTTTTGTGGCTACATTTGTGGCTGCATGTTTTCTTTTATTTGTTTACTTTGCCTTGAACTTTCTCCTACATCCTTCTTTTCTTTTCAGCCAGACCTGAATAAACACATTGAGGGATCATTTTTGTCTCCTTCCATTTCCACTTCCCTTCCTCTTCTACTTCCATATCTTTTCCCCTTTATTATCATTTTCTCCTTAGCATTTTTTGATGTTTTTCTTTCCCATGAATTTCCCTCTCCTTCTTTTGGTATTTTGTACTTTACCTCAAGGGAGGCTCAACAAAGATATGGGCCTTTTTTCCTTAATAGTGCAAAACTGGATAGAAACCACCTTAAAAATGTGTGGGACAAACTCTGTCCTAATTGTCCTGTGGCATGAGGATGTCTGGGAGCAAATAAATTCCTGTTTAGCAAATTTAACTTCTCCTAAAAATTCAGGCTCCATCCTTCCAGCTGGAAACTGGATCATATAATGGGTTATTACAAGCTGTTAAAATTTGAGACCGAGGAGGGGGAATAGGCTGAAGTTATTCCATGGATTGTTCTGTTCTTTGTGGGAGGCTGTTAAAATAAAGCAACAGTATAAAAGATGAATTATATACAATTTAATGTAAAGCTGTTGGAAGCCATTAGGATATTTCTTCCTTGATTGTCTAACATTTGTGTACTTTTACAAAGTTTTACATTTTTTTGGTTCTTTCCGAACATTATGAAAATTGTACTGAGAGGAGTAAATTCATCTGCATAAAATTGACTGCAAAGAGCAATTAGTCCTTCATTAATATGCAAATTTGGTCCAGTGCAGATTCATCTATATATGAGGCTTAAATATGCAAGTCAGTCTTGCTGTGCGAGAAGCCCAGATGCTTTTATTTACTTTGAAATTGAGGGATTTGGTTAATGATGTTGTTGACAGGAAAACTTGAATAAATTTGATGATCACCATCTTTCATATTAGACGAGGCCCATGGAAAAAAATTACCAAGTAAAATACCAATTTTATTTGGTAATTTCCTATTACCAATCTTGTAATAAAATGGAAGATAGAAAGTAATAGAGTTAGATTTCCTAATGTAGTTATCCTGAGACTTAAACTGTTCCCCAAAGATGGAGCCATTTTTCTTAAACTTTGTTTTTCCAGAGGGTAAAGACATCTCCATAAGCTGTATGAATAACACACTGCCTGGAGATTTAATATTGGAAACTTGGTTCTGTGACTTGCTTCACTTGGTGAGAGGATGTAAGCTGGGAATGAAGGAGCAGCAGCTTTGGGAATGGTTCTTTGTCACCTTCCATGATTTATCTGTGGGCTCTTCTCATGAATTAGTGTTGAGGCCTTTGCCCTGAACCTGTGGAGCACCCTGCAATCTGTATCTACACACAGCCAATCCTGTTTGGATCACCCAAGCTCCTTATAAACATTTTCTGAAATGTCTTTAAATCTCTTGGTCATGATACTTCCATCCTGCTGGCCCCCAGCACAGGCTGGCTCACAGAAGCAGGTTTTCCTCCCCAGTAAATCCAAGCTGTGGTGTGTCCTGCCTCTCTCCTCTTTTCCTCAGTTCCTCTGGCACAGCCAGGATTCCTTGCCCTGGTTTTGTCCAGCATCCCTCACTCAGCCAGCAATGGGAGCAGTTCCTCTGCACTCGTCAGTCTTGGTTCACCTGCACGATCCCACAGCTTGTTCCTCCTCATGTTGCTTCCTTTTTCCTTCTCTGTAATTCCCTCAGCCCAAAATTTAGTTTTGGCTTAAGCAAAACTGGTCTTTGAGTTCAATCCTGCCCATTTTTTCCTGGACCAAACCTGGTCTTGCCTGAGTGAGGCATTGGCACTTCCAAAAGAGCAGAGAAATGTGGTTTAAATGGACTGAGCTGTGGGGTAATTTATAAAGCTCTAGTTGTAACTACCTGAGGACAAGTTAAGAGATGAGACCATTTGATTCCTCTGACTTCCTGGCACAGCTGGTTGGGATATAAATCCTCACAACAGTTGGTTTCCAAATCCTTGCTGTGCTGCACTAGGCAAAAAGTTTCTATAACCATGTTCAGGAGGGAAAAAAATTCAACCAAAATTGTTTGTGTGGTCTTGCAGGTGAGTCCAAGAGCAGGAAAATGAAGATGGAATTGAGTATCTGGGGGGAACAGAGGTGAGATCTGATAGTCTTGTAAAGGCTCTGGTTATCCTACAAGGGAATCTGTGGTTTTTACCATCAGAATGAGGCACTGACAGTGTCAGAAGGGAATTTATTTGCAGTACTGAATAGTTTAGGAGGTGATAAATTGATTAAAAGGTGAAACCTTAAAACCACACCATCTGCTGAGACTTAAATAGCTTTTACCTTTGAGAACACAGAGCTGTTGGGCAGTTTCTAGTATTTTTCAGCACCATCCACAGCAATCTTGGCTTTCTAATCTTGCTCCCAAAAGAGGAAAATATTAATTTTGAAGTGTATAAACAACAGGCATCTCAGCACAACCTGAGGTTGTCTCCTATCAACTATGTAATCTTTATATTCTAGATTAATAAACACTTCAGCCTTGGAGTTTATTAGTCCAAAATATATTTATTACCTCATAAATTCAAACCCCCTCCAGTTACCATCTAATTAAACTGCAGCGCTGTGCATGCTATCTTTGGGGATGTATTAATAATGGAATTATCTTGTGAAACAGTAATTACATACTTTGTGCATTCTTTGCCACACTCTTTCTTCAGTGTCTGTGTGATGAGTGGGGCACACAGTGCTCCATTGTTTGGAGCTCCTCCAAAGTCTCTGTGTATCCAAAGATAAGCAGATTTTTTTTTTTTTCCCCTCTTAGTAGAAGAGGGAGAAAAGTTTGTGCATTTTTTGTACTCAGGAAAGAGCAATACCACCAGCCTGGGAGCAGTTATGAAACATGATTGTGCAAGTGATTTTAGCTCTTGCTTTCTCCTCAGTCTTTGAGGAGATTACTCTCAGGAGTAAAAACTCCTTGCAGGATTTGTTTTGTTTTTACTGCAGCTGCCAAAAGGTGAAGACAACCACTTTATCTGCAAGAGAATATTCATTTATGGGACTTCACTGGTGATATAGGTTTGAAATGGGGAAATGGGCTTAAAGCCTTCTTCAGGAGAGATTTACTCAGTTTTCTCCAGTGGTAAGTGCACTTGCTGTATTCTGATTTATAAATGTATTGACTCTGTGCTTTTGCTTTATAAGGTTGTCCCCCACCTTCTACTCTGAATAATTTCTATTGACAAGAATTCTTGTGCTCTTTTTTCCTCCCTTACTGCAGAATTGGGTGTCTGAACCCTGCCTGGTGTTCCCTTCCCTGCATGGAAAGAGGCACAGGAGGCAACACCTTTTGCACATAACTCCCCTGGAGTTTTGGAGTGCCTTATCTCTGGTTCAAGTACATCTGTTGAGCAACAGTGGGAGTGTGTGATTCTTGTTGACACAGGCTCTGCTCTACCTGACAGGAGGGGGTTGATTCTCCCTTGTGCTTCCAGCACTTGGTGCCTTTAGGATCCATATGCTGTGTTCTCCTGCCTTTTATTTGCTCCCTGCAGTTGCTGGGGCTGTGCAGTGTCTGCAGGACAGGAAGGGCACTTCCCACCAATTTCCTCCCTGAATCTTTCAGATCTTTCCAGCACAAGTTTTTGCCTTCTCCTTGGTTTTCTGCTCCACAGGTTCTGATGTCTGATGCCAAATACAAAACTGAGTAATGGTCACTCCCTTCATACCAAGGGGTTTGATTGAACTTCCAGCTGCAACTCCATCTCCACTCCTGTATTGTGATTGCAACTTCATGTTTTACTTTGCATTTTGCAGTCATTCAGAGGCCAAGTTTTCAAGCCTTCCAGACTTTGACTTGTTTTGATTTCACTACAAAATCCTGCAAGAATTCTGCCAACAGCGAGGCCAATGTGTCTGAAAGCAGATGGCACTTCCAGTACCTAAAGGCTGGTCAGGTGTGAGTATCTCAGTAGTAGGAGTGACTCAAACTTGTAGCTTTGATTTTCAATAAGACACTATTTGCTTTATCCAGTAATTTTCATCTGCCAGCACTCACAGTTATTTACATCAGACTGTTTTCATGGATGAATGTTATTCTTTGGGAATAAAGAAAATATTCTTTGGGAATAAAGAATGCCTGACAAGCTTCTGTAGTTTAGTGAATAGATTTTTGTAAACCACATAATGAAATGTAATTATTGTATGATATATGTTTTACAGAATCTCAAATGGCTTTATCAGCCCAATGTCTAGGAATTCACCTTCTGAGATTGAGCATCTTGTGCTTGGTGTCTTAATAAAAATGGTGTCTGATACCACTGTGTTACCACAGTGCAGAATGGAACAGTTTCCATTGTAATGAATAGCAAACATCTGCAAAGAATAATTATATTTATGCCATATTGCTCAAACACACGTTATTATTATTATTATTACAGCTCAGGATTAATTACTGATTTGTCAAAACCTGCTGATCTCCAAACTTTTGCTTGTCTTGTATTTCCTGTGGCTGTTGCTGAAAAGATGCTCTGTGTGTCCCCAGAATGGTTCCAGGTTGTGTCTTGCCTGTTCTGTCACTCTGGTTTTTTGTGCCTGGTATCTGATTTGGAAACTTTCAAACTAGACACCTTTCTGATGTGTTTCTCCTGATGTGAATAAATTCACTGCAGAATACTTGCAGAGCAAGAGATGTTTGTTGCCAAGCAATTACTTCAGATGAAACATACAGAAGGGTAATATTTTAGTCTGATTTTTTTTTTTTTTTTTTTTTTGCTACAGGCATGAATCTGAAGATGAATTCTGGGAATTTAAGGAAGAAAAAATACAGGGGTTTTATTTCTTAATTTTTTTCCTTGTCTTCTGTATTTTTGCAGTGATTGCTTTGAGTCTGGAAGGTCATCATGGTTGAAGGCATGAAGATGAGGACATCAAAGCCTTTGCCCACTTATGACAATTACTCTGGAGACAAACACAGCTCAGAAGACAAATGTTATGAGCTACCTGTAAGTTCTGGTTCACAAAGCAGATGAGAATCCAGAGATACTCCTGAACTTGGAAATTAAATTTATTCTCAAGGTAATGGTTGAGCTCATTATCTGCTGCTCTTTGTAAATGTAAAGTAAGGAGTGCAGTGCCCATATATTCTGTCTATAACAGCTGACATGTTTTCTGCATTCCTGTGTTTGCCTAAGAAGTCATGGATAATCAATTTGATGTGCAAAATAAACTGCCTGGGTGAATTCTGATACATATCACTTGCCATGGCTGTGCTGTTATGAGAGGCAAAAACTTCCAGGAAGGAAACAGCAAGGAAAAATCTGCCTGATAAATTTCTCATCAGTTTTTCTCCAAGGACATATCTGTAGGTGGATTCTATAGACAGTGGTTGGGTATTTTTCTCCCCCTTGAGTGGCTGGTTCTGTGTGTGTCAGTTATTTTCTCCTGCTCTATTAGAAATCAAAGCTACCTTATCACTTCAGGATAAATATATCTCTATTTATATCTCTGTATCTATCTCCTATAATGCTAACTAGGAAGGATAAATATATCTATATTTATATCTCTAAATCTATCTCCTATAATGCTAACTAGGAAAAACTAACCTGAAACATTTCATTTTCAGCCTTTCTTATTATTTAAATATATATTCTAAATTATTTTTTAAATTCCCCACATGTATTACAAACAACTTCCCATCTGATTGATTGGGAAGCAGAATAGGCAGGAACCAGCAGCAGACAGATGTGATTATAAAAGATGTTCTGTTTGTTATAATGAGACTTATGGTCCTAATAAACTCTTAGAATGTTTTTAACACAACCAAATTAAGTAAGTTTAAAATCTGGTTTTCTAGATCTAACTCTATCAGATCACTTTTTACCTTATTTTTGAGGACACCCCCCTCAAATTTTTCTTAGTTGTAGAGAATTTCTCACAGAATAAAGTACCCCTAATTCCAGCAAAGAAAAAAAGGGAAATGTGTAGAGATAAAAAGCACGAATGACAATCCTGATCATGTGGAAAAAATCAATCTGTGAGCTTAGACATAGTTCCACACCAGTCTCCTCCTTTCTTGGAAATCCATATTTCCCCCAGAATATCCAGCAGCCTTACGTAGCCTGTCAACATTTCCTTATAATATTTCATGTCCTTCTGCTGGAAAGAAACAGCTGGATATTTTGTGTCATGATGTGACCAGTGCACCTCTGTTGTTGTCATTTTAATTGCTGGGGCTGTATTTTGAAGTCCTCCACAGAAGGGCTTTGTAGTGACAAGCGAACGGTTCACGCTTCGTAAGCAAACATAAAGAATGCTGCTGCTAATTGGAGAGGGAGTAATGCAGTTATGATTCCATCAACATTGAAGTTACATTGGGAAAGGACACGGTTTTTGTTGTGGTTGTGGTGCCACATAACATTTTACTCCAAGTGGGTTTGGTGGGGAAGGTTTTAGGACAGAACTGATGAATCCTGGAATTACGGGGATGGGGGAGATGGAAGTTAAATTGTTCTAAGCTACATCTGCAGTAGAAAATCAGCATTTTATTGCTCTTTCTTTGAGATTGTAGTCATTAATTGCTGGCTTGTGAAATAGCTTGTCTGTGAAAATGGAAAGAATGGACAGCCTCAAAAAACTCCCTTTCCTCTGCCCCGAAGAACTGCAGCCACAGTGTTTCATGTGGAGGAGGACTCCTCAAAAATCACCAATTTCCCCCAAAAAAGGGTTCTTATTCAGTAATTTAGGTATTTTGGGGGTTTTCCCCTTGACATTCTGCCTGTTGTACCTATAGACTTCCCAATTTCTCTAAGTCTGCTGGACCTTGTGCTAAACCTTGGCTTTTCTCCTGAATTACACTTCCATGGAAGGCTTGGCCATGGATTAACAGTTTTACAGTTATGTGCCCGAAGTCCTTTCCTGTTCATGCTGATTTAATTTTTTCTCTACTCCCATCTCTCTTCTCAGGTGGAGCCTCAACTTGAGCAGCCTTGGGAGGGCCAAAGGTGCTTCCTTTTCCAGTTCCCTGCCTGGATTTTAGAAGATACCATTTTTTAGCATCTCAGCAAGGAAATCACAGCAATTTCCATGGGAAGAATCACAGAGCTGACAGGGCTTCCCCCCAAAACACTGCCTGTGTAATTGCTGAAGACATTCCAAGCCCCTCTAACGAAGTGCTGTCTGCCAGTCATTATGTTCTCCTTGGAGGACCATCTGTTGCACTTCAAATATGTAAAGGTCTCTTATCATTTATTGCTCCAAACAAATCCAGGCCTTTGTCTGATGTGCTGGAGCTTCTGAATGGATTCTGAAGGTGGTTGCAGTCACAAAAGGCAGGGTGTTGCCTTTGGTTGCACTCCTTCAGCTCAAATTTCAGAGCACAAATATACTGATTAAACCAATATCTGAATATTTTCAATTTGTTTAGAAATGAATGATGAACAATAACAACTGAAAATATCTGAAATACGTTTTCATTCAGCCAGGAGGACATTGGAAGATTTTTGCATCTGGTGAACAAATCTTTCCATTGTAGTGGTATCCAGATTTGATATATGCTGAGATTGGAATGAAAATTACCTTATTTTAACTGAATTATTTAGCTAATTTGTATCTGAAAATAGTGATTCAAAGGAATGGTAAAAAATAGAGTCAGCATCTTAAAATGCTCAAGCCTTCCTTAGCACATGTCCTTTACAAGGATGTGATACTTGGTTGTACAGTCATTATTTATAGGTTAATTAGGATCCTTTCCATGAGTAAAATGAGCAAGATCGGGCATTAAAAGATGCTGGGTTTTGTTTTTCCTGCTGCAGATTTTACAGAGGCTCCACAATCAGGTTGGAGAATGTGAGCATTGTATTTTCACAGCAGAAAAGTTCTGTTCAGAGATTTCCAGCCAGAGAAACCCATAACAATTTCTGTCTGATTAGGGAGTGGTCCTATCTTTTTCCCTTTCTCCTCTTTCCCTTCTCCTTCCTGCACAGCAGCTAATGTTCTGGTCAGAAGTAATAATATGTTAGATCTTGAATGTCAGTAGCCCCAGAGATTCTGACAAGACTATTCATGTGCATTCATATGTCTTAACCAAAGCTGACACTAAAGAGAGCAAGAATTCTCATATTCCTCTTTTTATTGCTGTGCATTAAACTCCAATCTTCTCTTGGAGACCTCTGCTAGAAATGACAAATCCAGCATTTGAAAAAGGCATTTTAGCAAGGTCTAAACAAAGCAGCTGGACATCAATCTGGCACAGGGCAGAGGCTCCTGGGAGAGCTCAGAGTGCAAAGCTGAGCTCTGGTTTGCACCTTCCAAATGCTGGGAGATAAATGCTAATGGGAAATAACCATTCCTCCTAATCTTTCTAAATTTCAATTAAAAACTGATTTTATTTTTTTTTAGCTATAGGATATGTCCTTATAGGGATATTTGGATTCTGGTAGCTCGAGGGTGTTTTCTGAGACACACACATTGAGTGAAGGTTCTGCTCTACCTTTTACTCTGCACATATTTTACACTCACTTGTAGCATGGTGCACTGCACGTGTTTGGGTAATTTTGCAGGGATCTGATTAAGTTGTTAAAGCCAGGTAGGCAATTTTGCCAGCAGTGATATTTTTAATCTTCTGTTTTAAAATGGTTTGGTAGTAGTGACTAAGGCAGACTAGGTGGCTCTGGGCAGCTCGCCATTTGTAGGTAGTTTAATTTGTTAAAAATTATCTTTCTTCCCACCCAAATCCCCTTGAAACCATTTGGAGAAGAGAACTGTTGAACAGTTGCCAGTAATAAGTCCTGCTGAGACCTCTGTATCCTCCTGACAGAAATGTTGGTGCCAACTGGAGACTGACTGGCACGAGTTTGAACTCTACACTACTTGATATATTTGCTTCACATGCACCAATTACAATAATTACCACCTCTGTAGCTGAAGTTTAAGCACTCACTCTGCTCTCCATACCTCAGGTTGTTGGCAGTATGTTCAGTCCTATAATCTCAATTTTCTTGGAATAATTAAGTAGAAAAGAAATACTTCAAAAAATTAGAAGAGAGTCTGAATGGAAATCAGAGGCTGGATAATAGAGTTGTTTGTCATGCTGCTATTGTTAAGCTGCATTTATTGCTATTTAATCTTTATTTCCAAAAGAGGCAGCGTCTTCTTTTGCCTGCAGAGATTCACCAGGAGATGCTGTAATGCATTGACTTTTACATTCAGCAGTGGAATATCTCTTGATGTGAGGGAAAAAGCAACAGGAACTCCTACTTTGTTTAGATGTTTTAAAAATATAAATATTCCTTTCAAAATAAATGCTTTTGACTAGAAGAGGAAATCACCCATCCCTTACTCCCTTTGGCTGGATGTTTCCATGTGGGGTTGTAGGGATTTCATTCCAGGATTGGCTTTAACTGCCCAGTTCCTGACAATTCCACTGGTTTAAATCTGATGCAATGGGGACCATCTCTCCCCCAGTCCTGGTGTCTTTCCAAGAGACTGGTTAATTTTTAAATTGGATCAGCAACATTTAAAAAAACCTGGTGAAGTTTCTATTACACAAAGATAAGCCTTAGACTGAGCACAAACTGACTTGCCTGTAGCTTTCCTAATATGTTTGCACTGTGCAGAGTAGATACTAAAATTTATATTAAAATTTCTTTATGCAGGTTCCCTCTAGGGAGAGGAAGAGGGAAGGAAAAAGCTTCATGTGACAGATGCTAATTATGCAGCTTAATGCACTTCTGGAAGTTGCAGAGATGAGAACTCTATAAGAACCTATCTACAAAACAAAGCACATTTTCAACAGCATTATTTTTCCTCCATTCTTTTTTAATCTGCCTCCTCTCTGTTTTGTAGGAGGTTTTATTTCCCAAAGAGTACCAAGGGCAAGCAGTGTCTCAGGTGCAGAATTCACCAGCCATGGATGTGATTGCTCTCCTTTGTGTCTTGCTGCTC